GATTCTTCAGAAGGATTACGAGGGTCGAGGCGCCGTAATTTACGCCACATTAATTTCCATCGTTGCCAAGCCTCGTTCCAACGAATTTTCATCAAATTCGACGAATCTTTCGTTTGATTGACGTTCAAGTAAACGTTTCGACTCGCGAAAAATTCAAATCTTTCTTTTATTTCTTTTTTTCATCGAAGAAACGCGCGTTTACTTTCGAATTAATATTTGAATTATTCGTGTTTGAATTATCGTATCGATATCTCGAATAAATAAATAATTCCGCGACGGAATAATTTTCTTCGCTCTTCCACTTCTCCGATTCTCTCCTCAACGTTCCGTTATTTTAATTGGGAACAAATATAGTACTTTCGAAATCGTGTTAAATATTTAACGGAATATTTCTATCGCTCGGGAGATAATAATATTTCGCGGATTTCCGGGCGGATCAAACAAAAGGGAGGGGGAGAAACCGATCACCGGTTCTCCCGCGCAATTTCGAAAAATGGATTTAGTCGTCTCGCTCGTTAAAAATTAGATTAAAATTAGATCTTCGAATCGTTCAAAGCGCGATTCATACACCGGATATAACAGCAACGATTATAGATTTCGATGACGTAAACCCGATACCCGAGTGTATATATATATAAAGTGGAAAGTATGAAAACTCGGATCGAATGGAGGGATGGAGCATCCTCCACCATCCGTGCAGAACCGTGGGATGAAATCTCGGAAATCTAGGAGTAGCTAAACGAGAAAGTTCAAGATCTCTCCGCCTCGTCGGAAGTAAGTTGAACGAACGCTTCGCTCGGAACGAATTCCTCGAAGAAGAATTAAACCCGTAATGGTGATATTTCCCGAAACTTATCGGGCCGCGAGATCGCAACGAAACACCGTGAAGGAAATCACGGTTTCCACGTTGGATTTGAATAAATTTCATCCGGCGAACGGTGGCCAGAGGGGACAACAAGGAGTAAAATGTAAACTCGGTGAATTTTCTCCCATTTTTTGTTTCTTTTTTTTATCTTTCTGTTAGAGAAAGAAAGAAAGAAGGGAAAGAGGGAAGGACAATCTAATGTCCCGTCCGCGAGAGGATAAAACTCTTTTCACTTTTTCACATAAGCAACGACAATTTCGTTTTCTCGAGGTTGAGGAGGGAAAGAGGAAAAAACGTTTCGCGGACGACGAGGACGACAAAGGCAGTCGGACAAAGCGGATTCCGTGTCACGCGAGCGGTCGTTACCTCGCTGTTGGCAACTCGCGTCACGCTCGTTCGTGCGGACCGTTCGTGCACGTTAAACGCGGAGCCTAGAACGCACGGACGACGAGAGAGACGACTATGGAATTTCTGCCGCTACAATTTATGCTGATTTATATGCGCCTGACGGTCCAAACCGTACCTCTTCCTCCTCCTCTTCTTCTTCTTCTTCTTTCCTCTCCCCTCGCTTCGTCCAATCCAACCCGATCCCTACTTTTCCTATCGCGTCTCCCTTTGCTCGTAATTCGGTATCGAGTTTCGAAAGTTTGTCGCGCGCAGCGATACTCGGCGGAAATGAGAATGGAATAATTTCTTCCGTGTGAAATCCACGCTTGCTTCGGCTCGTTCCCTCTTCGCGAACTTAAAAGGAACGAACGTTGTTCCATCCGATGTATCGAAGATCAAGCCTAAAGTTGGTCGAGTATACGCGATATTTTTATCGTACAACAGTCTTTACTTATTCACTCCCGTCGTCATTTCCCTTAATCCATTTGTTGTCTCAGCTTCTCGACGAACTCGAGCAGGTTGTCTACGTTGGCACGACTCCGCGCTGATTCATAACGGCGAGCGACAAAGGGGCGAGCGAGCTTTCCTCCGTGAATGCTAATCGTTGCGGCTCGCCGGATTAAAGCGGCTTCCCAGTCGATCCCAGATGTCTTTTCACCGACATGCTCTCACAGGGAGGGGGAGGAGGATCAGAGAAAGACGGAGAAAATTCCCCTTTTCGCCTTTTTGCCCGGCCCGTAAGAGGGCGCTAAGGTTTCTAATCAAACGCGGTATCCAAGGAGGGGGAGGGGGACCAACCATGGATTCCCCTCCGTTCGAGTCTCGAAGCAATAGCAGCCATTGTCCATCGGGAACAAAGGTTGCGAAATTGTGACGATGCATGGTATCGCGGTGGTATTGTTGGCCCGACAAATCACCGAAGTAAAGCCCCTGTAATACACGTAGCAACGCGATTATCAACATGTTTGGCGCCGAGTTCGTTACACGATTCGTTACGCGATTCGGCGAAATTGGAATTTAGGCAACCGGGAAACTAATTAATGCATCGGTCCAAGGTTCAAACGCCAGGTTGCACGGTTTACCGTGATGAGCTTAACTTGAACAGAGATTTCGAATTATCGGCCGATATTAAAGGATTCGATTCGAAAGGGAAATTCTTCTCTCTCTTTTTTTTTTTTTTTTTTTTTTTCTATTTCGATCGATCATTGCTGTGAAAAAAAGGAGGAAAAAGAATTTTCCACGTATCTCTCTCCGCATACATACACGTATACAAATACTGTCGTAAAATATGCACAGCCATTTTGAATCTCGTTGCATTTTTTATCTTTTGCGCTTATCGAAAATCAATATCCGTTACATACCGAGAATCTTTTCGACTTTTGCCACCGTCGCATTCCATATTCCTCCCCGACGAATTATTATAAAACAAACGAAAAAAAAAAAGAAAGAAAAAACTCAAAGAAAATCCGAGTCGAGGACGAATTAAAAGGAGTAACGAATTATACCCAGCTTGGATATTCCCGCGCTGGATAGATTAGATAGATCCCAGCCAACCGATAAGCGATAAAAGAACATCGGGCGGCGCTTTATCGGTGAACGTTACTACTAATCTAGTTTACAAGGCGTTAACGACGAGCCACGTCTCCATTAATTATCCCTTTTCAACGAGGGAGCAACGAGCTGCGCGTCGAGCTGCGTGTCTCGAACAATTAAGACGCGACTCCTCTCCTCGGCTCGCGTTCAAACCAGCACGAAAACTCGACGGAATAATTTCGCAACTTCCGACGCGCGTTATACACCTGACAAGCTGCACTCTTCCTGCCTCCTCTATTCGCCCCTCGCGATAATAAATCAGCTTTCCTCCTTGCGGGAGAAACTTCTTTATCCTCGGCTTTTCTCCCACGCTTCGGCCCAAACGATCAGAACACCCATGGCTGGTCTTTTGCCCTCCCTTTCCCCTTGTCAACCCCTTGCCTCGAAACACCATCAACGATGGTGTTACGTATTTACTACGTTGTGCAACGAGTACAAGTTTCTTCAAAAAAGTAGCGTAGAACTTTGTCAGGTGTGGCCTCGTTCGTTAGCTCGGCGCGTGATACGAGTAGATTTGTCGTTGCAACAAGGAAACGAGTGGGAGTCGAGCCATGGTGTAATTCAATTTCTCGTTGTCACTCTTCGAGAGTGCTCTTCGATCGAAAGGTGTAAGAGAAATGAGAACGAATTCGAACGATCTCCAGTGCCTGTTCAATTTCTCTTATTATTAATGAGAAGTGTAGATTCGTTCTTATCGTGCTTCTTTAATTTCTCCTATTATTAATTATAAATTGTATGCTTGTGACTCTTCCAAGTGTAGATTCTTGGATACATCGATCGAAATAGGAAAATATAGGAACCGAGGAGAAAAACGAAGAATCAGAATTCGAATCCTTTAAACAATCTGTGCCATACATCTGTTTTTAATTTAATCTTACTATTAATAAGACGTATGCTTGTAATTCTTCCAAATATAGATTCGTCCTTATTTTACATCGATCGAAATAGAAAAATATAGAAACTGAGAAGAAAAATGAAGGAATCAGAATTCGAATCCTTTAAACGATCGGTGTCATAGTGCTCTTCCAATTTCTCTTATTAATAAAATGTAATTCTTCGAAATGTAGATTCACCCATATTCTTCGATACATCGATCGAAATAAGGAAGCGTAGGAATGGAGGAGGAATCGGAATTCGAACGAATTCCGAAACCCTTCGAACGACTGAGGCACAGTGCGCCTTTTCAATTTCTCTTACCATTAATATAAAGATGTATGCTATGCAACTTTTCCAGAAGTTTCGTCCTTATTCTTCGATACATCGATCGAGATGGGAAGGTATAGAAACCGAGGAGAAACGAAAGCAAAATGGATTCGAACTCGTTAAACTACGCCTCCACGCCATAGACACCTCTTCGACTTCTTTATTCGCCGTTATACGATACCGTATACTTGCTCGCGACTCTTCGTAACGTAGATTTGTCGTTGGACACATCGATCCAAGTAGAATACGGAAACTTGTGGAGTAAATCTACACCCATCTTCCTCCCGCCGTATCCTCTCTTCACTATCCGTCTCTTATTGTTTAGCTCCTATTAAATGACCGTGATGGATGTTTGTTCGCGCGATAAAGAGTAGAACGGAACACAGGGAAAGAGAAAGATGATTGTTCGAAAAGGAAGGAGGGGGGGGAAAATAGGACGAACACCTGATAACACGTATGGACAAAAAGGAAGGGGAAGAGGGTAGAAATATAGACGAAACGTGGCAATTTTTCAACGGCGGATACTCGTCGAGACACGCGCGTCTTTTAATTTTCGCGCGAGCAAACAGCGGGGCTTCGCGATAAACGTTAAAAGCCCGCGGCCGGGCGGATACAAATTCCGTGGCGCGAATAAATTTCGCGCTCGCCTCCAGGGAATAAAAGTTCTAAACGGGGGAGGGATAAAATGGATGAAACGGAACGAGCCTCACGATTTTTCGGCGTGAACTGAATCCTCCATTCTCCCCTCCCTCCCCCCCTCCCCCTTTTTGTTCATTCAACGAATTCGTGTATACTTTTTTTCCACTATGTTTCCATTTATTTATTTTCTTTTCTTTTTTTTTTTTTTTTTTTTTTTTTTTTTTTTTTTTTTGTATATGACAGCAGTACGACCTGCTCCTGCCTCTTCTTTGTAACGAGAGAAAAAGAAGAAGAAAAAAAGAAAAAAAGGACGAGAAAAAAATTAATACTTCCTCTTTATCGTCATACTAGTAATCGCTCGTATAATTACAATATGACACCACGCTTTCGATATATGAAAGAAAAAAAAAAAGAACAAAAAAAATGGAAAAAGAAGAAGAAAAAAAAAGAGAGAAAATAAAATGACACACACGCTGCTGCTTGCTTCCTTTCGCCATTATTTTTTTTTTTTTTTTTTTTTTTTTCTGTTTTTTGACTCACACACGCAATTGAACCAGGCGATCGCCTGTTCACGCTTCTTTTTTTAATTTTTTTTTCTTTTTCTTTTTTTTTTTTTTTTAAGATCTCTGCTCTTAAGTTACGCTGGCCGCAGCCTTAAATCTTAAGTAACAAGTTTTTCGATATCTTTTACCGTATACGCTACATATACAACTCTCCCTCTCTTTCTCACCTTCACACTCATCTATATACGTTTCCTCATTCACTCTCTTCCATTTAGTGCTCGATATCGTGTCCTTACGTGTATATATGTATATTTATATATGTATAAGTATATAATAATAATAATAATAATTATAATAATAATATAATAATAATAACAATAATAGTAATAATAATAATAATAATAATAATAATAATATATTCTGAAAAAATAATAATAATATATTCTGATAAAGTCTAAGCTCAATTTTGATTCGATATAATAAGTCTGAAGATGATTTATCAAACGTATCGAGCACCGTGATCCCGACTCGAAAGAGAAAGGACACCCCAGGAGTTTCCAATACGAAATCTATTTTGATCGGGAGAAACGATCAAATGAAAAATCGATCGTCGTCGGATCGTGATTCGATGCGTCGTTGATTGTACTTGTTCCATCTCTTTTTCTTTTCTTTCTTTTTTTTTTTTTTTTTTTTTTTTTTTTTATTTTTTTTTTTTATTTTATTTTCCGATCCGCTCCGTCATCCGCGGAATAAGTACACGGAGTAAAAATAATAATAACGCCTCTCGGATCCCGGACCGAATGAATGGAAAATGGGATTCCGCGCGCCATTTTCGAACGCCATTTTCGAAACGCTCGTTCCTCGTCTCGGGCGCGTCTCTACGCAGCTACGTAGCGTATTGTCGCAGTGATAATAATAAGTAATAATAATAAAGCATTCGCTGCTTCGATCGCCGATATACAAAGTTGTACGAAGTTGCCTTCGTTCGATTCGCATCTCTCTCGTGGTTAAATTTAAGTACTCTGCGTCGACCTTTTGCTCGTAAAACGAACACGCGAGAAACGACAAGAAATTTCGAGTCTTGATTTTTTTAATAATTTCCTTTTTTTTCCTCTTCTCCCCCTTCCAAAGAAATATATATATATATATATGTATATGTATCATAGAGAAACGTGGAGGAGAGGAAAGAGGGTCGAAATATTCGGAAATATTGCGTTCTTGAAAAATTGGGATTATCCGCGTGTCGTACGTACGATCGTCCGATAAGGGTGGAGAACGGTCGACGGAATCTTATCGCTAAGTATACGAAGTACGAAGGCACAAGTTTGGGTAAAGAAGATGTATCCGTGGCCACGAAAATCCAACGAGAACGGATTCGATGGATAAAGATCCTCGACTTGCGGAAACACGAGACACACACACCTGCCTCCTGCCTTCAATTTTTTTCCTTAAACGAAAATTCACGAAAACGAAAGGATCGCGATTCCTTCTTCCCCTTCTCTGCTCCTTCCTCCTTGTATCGCGTCTCCTTAATCGAACACGAAACACGCTATCGTTAAGGCACGAAAAGTGGCCGATTATAGCTTTAAAGTTTTCGTCCCTGATAGACGCAATCGACACTTTATGGATTCGTGTATATATATATATATATATATATATATATATAGTGGGAAGGTAATAGAGGCGGCTACGCGAGAGCGGATAAAAATCTGCGTGTGTGTGTGTGTGTGTTGCGGAGAGAAAGGAGAAGGAGGGTGGTGATCGGAGAGGGAGGATGATACATACGTTCATACATTTTTCATGCGTCCGACACGGATGGAAGATGGTCGTCGGGGAAGAGGGCATCGCTCGCGGCGTGCCATTTTTCAAAACACCTGTCGTCCATTGTTCGAATCGTTCGATCAATCCCCATAAATCGGCGCGAATATCTTTCTCGCTTCCTTCCTCCTTAATTCCACGCGTATATCCGAATCCCGCCTCCCCTCGATCCCTGTATATATCTTCTGTATATCTCCTTCACGGTTCCTTCGCCATCCACTGTGCACGTCGTTTCGTATTCTCCTCGTCGACGACCAATCGAAAACGAAGAATCGTTCGAGACCCGTCGCGTCGTATCTGAATCGTGCCGTCCGGGAAGAATCTTCTTAGTATCGATTCGGATCACCGATTACCGCGAGTTGCGTGGGGAGAAGAAAGAACAAAACGGAGACGAAGAAGCGAAGAACCGATCGTTGGTTAGACAGGGGATGATCATAAGGCGCGAGGTCAATCCGATAATTCGGATGTTCGTCGATCGACGGGGCAGTTTCCGGTATTTCGAGACGTCGCTCATCGATTGGATCGCGCGGTCGTTTCACATCCGGCACGGAGAATAGCACCGTGCAAAAGAAGAAAGAAACTCGAGTCCAAGCTACGAACGAAGGAGAAGGTATCGACGAGATCTAGTAATAATTCGAGTCCGTTGCGAAAGATCCTCCTCCTCCTCCTCTTTCCCCTCTCTCTCCTTTCGAGTTCCCCGTCTCGGCGAGAGAGGGAGAGGAGACGAAAGAGAGGAACGAAAAGATACACGGTTAAATAAAACTGGTGAGAAACTCTATCGTTGAAACGAACGTCTATGATAAAATTGGGGGATGGGATCAGCAAATTGGGATGATAAAGGAATCCATCCGTCCGTGTGAAAATAATACGAAAGCTCCGTCACGAGTTACTCCTCTCCTCGGGCTCTCGATCGACGAAGGGAAATATCGTCCGCTCCGCTTGTCCGGAGAGTTAATCCTAGCTTCTCTTGATCTGGACCTGGCCGAAACCGCGTTTCGTGGTCGGGCGTCGTTTCTTCGACCATCGGCCCGAGAAGGGAGCGTCGACGAGGGGGGAGGGGGGCGACGCTGCTTGCTTCGACCCTCTCCTCCTCTACTCCATCGCGGCCTCTTGGAGGGCGTGCAGATGGGCGTAGAGGCCATCCGCCGCGATTAAGTCGTCGTGGGTGCCCATCTCCGCGACGGTTCCCTTCTCCAGGACGCAGATCACGTCGGCGTTTCTTATCGTCGCCAATCGATGAGCTATGGTGATGCAGGTCCTGCCTTCCATCGCTTTGTCCAGGGCCGCTTGCACCACCTGCGCGCAAAAATATTTATATATGTATATGTATTTTTTTTCTTTTTTCGTTTCTATTTGTACGATGTGTCGAGAGATAAATGGCGAACGAATGCGTTACGACGAGCAGGGATAGGATGATAGGCGCGAAAAGGAGGGGGGAAATCGACACGATCCCGGGCGTTAAACAAGCACGCGGGTATAATGGAAGTCTATTTTGGCGCGGCGGGCGGCACAACAAAGAGGAAAACGCGATTGGCTGTAAGCAGCCGCGAAACAATAATTGCCGTGAAATTCGTTCGGCGGGGAAGAGCCGCTTTTCCGTCCGCGGGAACAACAATCGAACATCCTCCTCTCACCCGCCCGCACGGTATTTCCGATTGTTGCCATAGATAATACTATTCCGTTGTTCCCGTTTGTTGCCGATTTCGAGGGGGATCGGCACACCGCCAGCCTAGAATAATCGATCTTTCTCGCTGGGAAAATTAAGCAGTCGAACCGAGATAATCGGCTAGGCGGGAGAGAGGCTTTCGTTCCGTCGAAACGTCGATAGGGGAAAATAGAGCGAGGAGGGGGGGCGAGAAGGAAAATAAGATGGATCGAATAAGATAGCACTCGGGCAATTCAATTTTCGCGCTTTTTCCCCTCTTTCTCTTTATTATTATCGCTATTCGAATAAGTTGATAGAATTGCATCAGCGAAATTCCGTGTTTTGATTTCTCTTCTCAAATCGATGGTATTCTCTTCAAAGTCTCCTTTCGAATGTATATATGTGTATACGTGTATATATGTATAGTATATATACGTTTGTTCCATCGTTCAAAGCAACGTTGGAAATCTTTTCTCTGTCCAAGAAAAGATTCTCGTCGTGCGAGTGTCTTTTTCACCCATACAATTTTTTTCTTTAACAATCGCTCCGTTCTCTTTCGAGTTTCGATGAGAAATTTCGCGTCAACGCGTTGTACCTTAAAGAGATTACAAAACGAGACGTTTATATTTTTCAAGAATTGCATTCCTTGCCCGACTAGATCGTCGCAGTCGAGATGGAGCAGCGAAAAGAATCGTTCCATACGTTTTTTGAACCGAACGATATTATTGCTATTTATTTTATCGAGGATACGAATTTTAAATGTACGATAATGTAGAGGAGTAATGTAGAAGGCGAGAAAAGTGGATATAATTACGCTATGACGAGCGTAGGAGTAACAGTTTCGATCGTTAACAGCGAATTCTCGCAAATATATGAATTTTAATTTCGTTAGAAATTATGTTTAACACGTAAAGGTGTCGGTTCTGTTACACGAGATGCAAAGAGAAATTTGTTCATATCTTTCCTTTTTTTTTCTTTTCTTTTTCAATTGGTTCACGCGTTTTTTACCCGCGTATTGTTCATTAAAATCCATCAGGATCCATTAATATTCATCAGCTCGCGTACTCGCAACACTACGAGTTACTTGGTTAATTTACATTACCGAAGCTGAGGCTCTTATTCAACGTTCGCTGGAACAAAATATTTTGCAGCAACTTTGACGGCAGAGACGCCCGTTGCTCCGCGAAAATACACGAGAACTGACGTAAAATTTCGCGTGTAAAGTATCGATGTAAAATTCGATTATTTATGTAAAACGTTAAATCCATCCACTTAGCAGCAAAGATAATACTTGCGCGCGACAATGATATGGCGTGTAACGATATTTATGAGATAAGAGGCGAGACACGATTCTTAAGCGAGTAACCAATTAACTATCTCGATCGGCGCATAAATTAAACTTGAACCGTCTCCGAATTTGAATTCTCCAAATTTTTTTCCTTTCGTTCGAAAGAGAAATAACTTTCGAGGAGATCGTCTCGTCTTGGAATCTCGTTCGATAATTCTCGAATCGTTCGAAAAGACGATCGATACGATTTTTTCGAGAATTGTTAAGCGCGCGGATGAAATATTTCGTGTAAACAAAACAATTTCAATTTTGTTGAAACGTGCTATTCAAGTGTACCGTACTGAAAGACACGCGATAAAGGAATACAAAATTGCGTGGCTTTTGTGAAATTATTTTCGAGAATAGCAATGTATTATAAATTATATTGTTTTCTCTGCTTTAACGAAGTGTACCGTCTCGTTTCCTTTCTTCTTTTTTTTTTTTTTTCGAAATTCCCTGCACGAATTCGTTTCAATTTTATTTTCTTTATAAACGTAATGCACGAACGAACGCGAACAAATATTTTATGTAAGAAAAGAAACAGCATTGAAAGTAAATAATAACGGAGTAGAATTACAAACGTTACACTATGAACGCACATACTTTCATCGTACGGAAACGCTTTGAAAGTTAAAATCAACTTCCCGATTATCGATTCCTCGATATCGATCGTCAAAATATCGTTTAAAAAGCTGTACAATAAAAGTCCACTAAAAAATGACTGTTTATACTTTTTTTTTTCCTTCATTCGAAGTCATTGTCGTGGCGCGTAATAAAAAAGTTAATTACCGAAAATAAAAATGCCTCATATAATATTCAATTCGACCATTTCTATTCCCGTTACAATTACTCTAACGATACTTTAAACACATCTAATATACAATGAAATATCGCGTTAATCTCCAATAAATATCCAAATCCGCTTATTTTTTTCTCATCCTCGTACGACATCTCAATAGACATTTAATTCAATAACGACGTCATCCTCGCGAATATAGATCGCGTATAAAGATCATTCTAAAGAATGATCAGAAGAGGGAGAAGGAACAGCCTCGTCCAGAGTTACGAGGCTGTTAATTGGCGACGAGCGATGGAACAATGGGTTGGCGAGGATGGAACGCGAGAATCCTTTTGTCCGCGCGAGAATTCCTAGCGCTTCCTCGACCCCTGGAGGGAGGAGGACGGTTGGTCATTTTTTCGCCACCTTTTCTACTTGTGCCCGCCCTTAAAAAGTTCCACCGCGCATTATATTACTGAATGCGGCGCTATCTACTTCAACCCGATTTCACGACCCATTTTCTCTGCTTGTCTTTCCCACCTCTCTCTCTCTCTCTCTCTCTCTCTCGCGCGCGCAAGGAAGTACTTCTCGAGTACGAAGACGGGCGCGGTTGACCGAGAAGACACCGCTTACCTTCTCGCTCTGAGTATCAAGAGCAGACGTGGCCTCGTCCAGTAGCAGGACTCGTGGGTTTCTGACCAAAGCGCGCGCAATCGCGATACGTTGCTTCTGTCCTCCTGACAGCTGCGTGCCTTTAGAGCCTAACCTAGTATCGTATCCCTGTAACAAAGAATGGAACGTAGGATGAATTCGTGCGGATGAGACGGTTTTACGTAACTTTTCGCTTTGCAAACACGCGATTTGCGAACTCGTTACGTGTAATTATTTCGATTATTAACCCTTTGCTCTCCAACGGTCACCGCTGGAATTGTTGCGGCGACAATATTTATTTATGTTTGATTTTTTTAGAATATCGCTTCACAAATAGGTTCCTTTATTAAGCTCTTTACATATAATCCTAATGAGGTTATATATTATATTATATATAATATATTACATATATTAGAATAATACATTGTTAAATGGCTAGATTTTTTATCTCAAATTAGATCGTGATCGTGAATCGAATATCTTCGTTAGTCTGAGTTTGACAGTTTATGTTTGATTTTTTTAGAATATCGCTTCATAAATAGGTTCCTAAGCTTTTTGTATATAATCTTATGAGGTGTAATCTTATCTTATGAATAATTATCTTACGTAATGGTAATCTTACGAGAGCACCGAACGCATCGAACGCGAGGGGCTGGAGTTTCTGGAGTTTCGACCGAGCGAAACAGTGCAAAGGGTTAATAACTATTGAAGATAATAAATTGCATATGTAGGAATAGTATAAAGTAAAAAATGGGTTTGGCGCAATTTTTGTCCGCCACTGTATATATATATATATATATATATATATATAGGTATTTGGCTCGATGGTTTAAAAAAAAAAACTACTCGCGCGATAACAAAGAATTATCCCTACTCACTAGTGGTAGAGAGCTGACGAAGCTGTGGATATTGGACTTCTTGGCGGCCTCTATAATCTCGTCCATCGGCACTAGCCGGAAATTGTCGCCGTAGGCGATGTTCTCCGCGATGGTCCGGTCGAAGAGGACCGGTTCCTGGCCGACGACACCCAGCTGAGATCTCAAATTGCGCAACGAGACCGACGAGATGTCGCGCCTGTCTATCGTCACGGTCCCGGAAATCGGGTCGTAGAGTCGTTGCAACAATTGGATGCAGGTCGATTTGCCGCATCCGCTCTGGCCAACCAGGGCGACCATCTGGCCCGGCTTCACGATCAAATTCAATCCCTGCAAAATTTGCATCTCGGGCCTGGTCGGGTAATGGAACTCGACCTTGGAGAATTGTATCAACCCGTCCGCCTTCTGCAATTTATTTATCCATTTATTAATATCGACCGGGCCGTCACCTCACCCCCTCATCAACCCGAAGTCGAATTAACAGGGAAGAGAAGAAAATTGATTCGAGCGAGCGCATAATAGGGTATTTGCTCGTGGAACGAGTTACACGTGACTGGCGTTCGCGAGACTCTGGAAACGTCGTTTATACGTATCGCTTCATTAAACGGATTGGAATTCTGGAGGGATAATCTCGAAACCTCGATCAAACAGAGCTCTTCTCGTTTCGGGCGTAATTAACGCTCGTAGCCGGAGGCATCGCTGTCAGTATGTCATAAATTCGACGCTTTGCTAAACAGTTCGTGATGAAACCTAGTCGAAAGGGGAGGGGAGGGGTTGACCAGGTTTGTCAACGGTTCTCGCTCCTGTACTTCGATCGGATCGATCGTCCGTGTTTCGCGTGCGATACACGTGTAACTGCGCGACGTCAATGGAAAAAATGGAATCTGTCGCGTTTGCGATTTGTCATCCGCCTCGCGTTCGTAACGTAAATCTGAAGCCAACTCACCCAATCCAGATCTTTGTCCTCGGAATCCGGCGGCGAGGCGATCTCCGGAACTCTGTCCAACAGCTTGAATATCCTGCCGGCCGAGATCTTGGCGGTGTTGAAATTGGGCGCGAAGGCGAGCGCCTGGCCCAACATCCAAGAGCCGAAGATCAACGCCTCCGACACTTTGATCACGTCCTGATAGTTCAAGCCCTCGGTGGCCACCAAAGCGCCGCCATAGTAGAGGCTCAAAGCGTAACCGAAGAACGGCGTGGTCTGACCGCACGAGAATACCAATCCTCTCAATCTCTGTCTGATCTTCATCGCCTGTGCCACGTGATCCAGCTCCGAGCAGTAGCGCCGCAGGAACGCCTCCTCCTTGCCGAGGCTGGCCACCGTACGGATGTTGGAGATCGCCTCTATGGCGATCCTGGTCGCCGCCTCCATCTTCTTCTTCTCCTGCAACCCCTGCCCGCTCATCACCCTCGCCTCGAAGAACACCGCGCCCAACACGAGAGGTATCGAAACCACCGAGACCAGGGTCATCTTCCACGTGTAATACATGGACAGGCCGATCCCCAGGACCAAGGTGGACAGGGCCTGAAGAATGGCGCCAATCCGGGTCCCGGTCGCGCCCTGCACGGCCCCCGCGTCCGACGAAAGTCTGGCGCAGAGGGCGCCCACGCTGTTCGTGTCCTCGTCGTACCAGCCCATCTCCTGCTTCAGCATCGCCGCGAACGTTATCTTCCTGATCCTCGTGGTCATTCGCACGCCCGCCAACCCGAACATGTACATTTGCAGGAAGGTGCCGAGGCCTGTCACCACTCCGACCACCAGGAACAGAATGGAGAAGTTGACGGTTTCGCGGCGTACTTCCTCGTCGTCTTGAAGGCCCAACACGTAGTACACCTCGCCGAAGAGGACGGCGAAAGCTGGGAACGAGGCGCCCACCATCGCCGCCGCCAGACACCCTGTCGAACGTAATTTTTTTTTCTTTTTTTTTTTTCTTTTTTTCCCCTCTTTTTCGAATAGGCGATGAAATCGCGCGCGCGCCATCTCGAAAGGATTTTATCAAGCGAAGCGATAAAATCGGTTTCGCGATGCGAATTCGCTCAACGGTGTCGATCGTTACCGATGATATTGTACGGCCATTCCGGTTTATTGAGCCCGAATATCCTCATCATGGGCGCGTCGTACGGTTTCTCGTGCTCCTCCAATTGATTGACCGAGGTCTCGGATGCGCCGGCCAACGACAATCGATGGGAGTGCATCGACAGAGTGGAGAATTGTCTCTTCAACGGTGGCTTCTGCTTCGGTATAGCCGCGGTGACCGTCTTCGCGGCCGACGCCGTCGCTTTCGCTGAAAATTCGATCGTTAATTCGTTTGCTTTTGAAGCAAAAACTTTAAACTTCAAACTTTAAATTTGACTCCATTCGAGTAAATCTAATCTCTCGAGAAGAGATCGCTCTTTTTCTCTTTTCCGTTTTCCCTTCGATTCTACCCTTGCACAGTGGAAAGAAACCACCTCTTCATATCCGATTACGTATAATTACCTCTGGCGGTGGCGCTCGCGTCGGCGGACACCAATCCGTAATAATGCTTGCCGAGGGCGAGCAATTCCTCGTGGGTTCCCTGCTCCACCACCTGGCCGTCCTTTATAAACACTATCCTATCGGCGTTGGTGATCGTGGACAGTCTGTGAGTTACGACGATCGTCGTCCTTCCCTTCGAGGCCGCGTCCAAAGCTCTCTGCACCGTGGCTTCGCTGTGGAGATCCAACGCGGAGGTAGCTTCGTCCAGTAAAAGTATAGCCGGTCGTCTGACCAGGGCACGAGCTATCGCGATCCTCTGCTTCTGCCCGCCTGACATTTGCGACCCCCTCTCTCCCACGGGGCTGTCGTACGCCTGGAACGGAAAACTCTCGATCAAACGGGGATGGGAGATGCGACGCCGCCCCTTATTACAGGCCCGAGCGTTAATCGCGAGATTTTAATTGAAACGAGGGGGTGCTCGATCCTCTCGCGATCGAGAGCAGGGAATTTAATGGGAATCGAAGGAGCGCGATTTTCGGCCACGGTCACGTTTCCGCCGATAATTATTCGGACGTCCGCGACCCATTTGCCCGTTCGATTACCGTGCTCGTAGGAAGAGGCCATCGCGCGGTCTCCGCTGCGGTTTCAAACAACGATTATTTCATTAACGGAAGTACGACGTGACGCGACCACGTATACGCGTTGAGATTTAATAAATTTACGAGGCGCAGCACTTTGCCATCACCACGTAATATTCCTGCCTCTCCGAATCGATGAAATCTTAGATTCTCCTTTTTTTCTCAACGTGACGAGTTTTCCACTATCATCCACTATCATCGATATTTTCTGTAATAATAAAAAAAATCCAAATACCCTCAGGTATAATTCAGGTTGTTTCGTCGCGTATCAACGGATATACGCGAAACGATACCCCTCCCCGTCCGTATAAAATTTCCCGCGCACGATCGCGGCGCGTCGATCCGTAAAATAAACTGCGCCCTCCCATAAACTGGAAAATGTCCGGTCCACTTGTTCCCGCGGATCGTTACGCGTGCTAAACGCGTCACGATGGGACACGACGGACGAAAGCCAAACACGCGTCGCCCTCCTCCTCCTCCTCCTCCTGTTCCCTGCACGCAGCGAGGGCGCGGCGACCGCGATGCGAGAACCGTGGGTGGAAGGGAGGAGGGGCGAATTCGCCTACCGATAATTCGGTAATAAACGCCTAATCGGTTGACGCGGCCCGTAATCTCGAATACTGTTATTTGCCCCGGCCACGGGTTTAAACGGGTGTTTTATCGTCTGTTTGCACGCGTGTTCCGTCCCTCGCACCTGAGACTATTGTTAACGCGTTGCGCGACCAGCTGGATATCCGGTGGTCAACACTGTGTATTACACGCGATCGAATCCCCCTAAATAACCTCGTCCCGGCGTCGAGATTATCCGCCGATTATCCGCGAGATGAAAATTCCACCGAGTTCAACGGTCGATTTTAATCGGTTGAAGAGTCAAGGCCAAGCCGATCCGAGGCCGAAATGGAGGAAGAATCGGGAAGAGGTCGGAAGCCACTCACCTCGGGCAGTTTGCTGATGAAGTCGTGGGCGTTCGCTTCCTTCGCCGCTTTGATCATCTCCTCCTCGGTAATGCTGTCATTTCCGTACCGGATATTCTCCCGTATCGTCGTGTCGAAGAGCACCGGCTCCTGCCCGACCACGCCTATGTGCGAGCGTAGCCACTGCACGTTCAGCTTCGACACGTCCACGCCGTCCAGCAGAACCTGTTCCGACAAAATTCCTGCTCAGAATTCTCCTTTTCGACGGACCGCGAGAAAAGGAAAGAAGGAAGATGGGAGGGGAAAGAATAAGAAGAGAATCGTTCGTCCGCCGTTTGCTCGAGCATTAGGCGTACATTAAGCGAAAGAACTGGCCTTTGTCGTTTTGGAAAATTTCGCGAATGGAACGAGGAAAGGGGTCGAAGGGCTCGAAATCGGTATTACGCCAAATATACGGCGTAATATTTTCAGCGAGGGAGGAAGGGTGGAACTGCGATGGATGCGGAAAACCGTAAAACTTTTACTACTTGGAAAACTGTTGGTGCGCCCCCACTGTTTTCCACCCCGCGTGGAAACGCTTCAAACTTGTTCCGTAAAATTCCTATTGCACCGCACGCGTTCGCGAATACAAATGTAACACAATGGAATATTCGCGGATGGGTTATATCGTTAACTTGCGAGCGCAATAAATAAATTCCACTCTCTAGAATTTAATCCTATATCGAATTTCACTTACGAAAGTATATCCCTTTGCGTAAAATTTTCGACCGGAAGTTCGCGAACGAGCTTCTAAGCTCGGTGCGAGATGCGAAGAAAATTATGCGATATTGAAAAGATTTCGAGAATTGTGGCGAGGATTTCGATACGAGGCATTTCGAGTCCTAGAAAAAGGAGCGGAGAAAAAGGAATCTGCGCGCGTTTTAATAAATTTACTCTCTTCCCCTCGCCTAAAGATAAACAAATTGGAAACGCGAGATTTCGCGGAATGGAAAATTCATAATGAACGCGAGATTAAATCGCGCGATTTAATACAAGAATTATCGTTATTATAGTTATTCAATTGTGATACAGGGGCGAGGCTAGCGGGCTCGTTATAGTTTTTCGAATCGACAACAGCCCTCCACAACATTTTAAAGCAACGTAACGCGTTACAATAATAATTTCCAACGAGTTATAAATTCATCGAGTTGCGATGGAAGGATTTGTCCGATTATAATTTTTCTTTTTATTTATTTTTTTTTTCCTTTTTATCGCTCACCTGTCCCTTGTGAGGATCGTAGAGTCGTTGGATCAATTGGAGGCAGGTAGACTTGCCGCAGCCTGATCCTCCGACGAGGGCCACGGTCTCGCCCCGATTGATGGTCAGATTCAATCCTTGCAACACCTTCACGTCTTTTCTAGCCGGATACTGGAAGTGCACGTTCTTGAACTCGATCTCGCCGGTCACGGTCGGAAGCTTCTGCCCCTCCTTGCTCAAACTGTCGATCGTGGGCACGCGATCGAGCACTTGGAAAATGGCCGCGGCCGAGCCCCGCGCCACGGCGAAAGCCTCGAGATGGGGGGACGTGAGGCCCATGTTCTGGGCGCCGGCCAACACGCCGAAGAACACGATCACCAGCACCGCGGGCGTGTACTCCTTCACCTCCTTCGGCCTGTCCTCCAGGATCAATTGGACGCCGTACCTGATAACCGTGGGATCGCGTAAACGACTTCGATTCGAGGCAGAAGATTATTCGTAACGGAAATAGGAAATAGTTCCTAGCGGCAGAAGAAAGAGAAGAGAGAAAGAGATCGTTTATATCGAATTAAAGTATCCAAGGTAAGTAGCCGGCTTCCCTCGGCAAACAAAAGGAAACGGCCTCGCGCGATGTTTCCCTTTTAAAGCAAACAACTTTTACTCGAAACACTCGTGGCACAATGCGGGAATTATACTCCCCGTGACCCGTTTCCGCCCCACTCGTGCCTGTTTACCCGTCCCAAAGACGTTTGTCCCGGAAATGCTCGCGTACCTTTCATTCCCCTCTCCCTCCCCTGCACTCGGAGGGAAAAAGCGTTATATATGTATATATATATATATATATTTCTGGCCTGGAAAGCTGCAAACTTACCAAAACGCGATGGCGTAACTGATGTATATGATGAACCACATAACTCCGCCACCAACGCCCGACCACATACCGCGCTTGATCCCGGTCTTTTCCGCGGGGATCAACTTGTCCGCGTATCTGTTCACTTCCTTCTGCTCGCCGTTGAACGCGATCACGGTCCTGATGGCGCCCAACACCTCCTCGGCCACGTTCCCCGCCTGCCCGTACGCGTTCAATTCCTGGGCCGTTAAGGAGCTCTGAACTTTGGCCACCACGGCGGTCGCGATCACGATGATCGGCGCGCAGCTAAGCACGACCAGGGTCAACTTCCAACCGTAGACGAACGATATGATGATGGAGGAAATGAAGGAGACCATCAGGTAAGTGAACACGCCCAGCTTCTCTCCTATCCCGTCCTTCATCTTGTCCAAATCTCTGAAACAGGAGGAGGGAGAATGTTTCCCATCGTGGAGGAGATCGTGATCGATGAAAATTCGTGTCGTGTCGCCAAACTTTTGCCAGACTTTTCGACATCTCACCGCGTAATTAGAAAACGTATATCGCGTTGTATAACGCTCTATCTCTATCCCGTCGGAAGTGAACGTTCACGACGACGAAAATAACAGCGGGCAACCATTCAGCGGATTAATTAAAGTTCTTAGCCTTATCTTCCCGCGGTGCGCGGGTCACCTTCAAAGAAACGAGCTCTCGAATTCGCCCCCTCGTCTATAAGCGAGTATACCTATTTATCTGGAATTTAATTATAAGAGTAGAGTCGTACGTATCGATCACCGGGTTTAAAATTAGAACAATCTATTTGGGACGTCGCGCTTTTCGGCGTAACAGTGTAAAGTTCGTAAATGTCAAGGTGAATCATTCTCGTCGTCGTCGTTTATGCATCTAACTTTGTTCTATCTTCTCGTGTCTCTATCTCTACCTCTCTTTCTCTCTCTCTCTCTCTCTACGAAATCCGGTAAAATCGTTCTGGCGCCACGTTACGACGCTTCCGCGTGCAATTAGCGTACAATAATACGCGCGATGGTGGGTGTCGTGCAACACGAGACCGAGATCGATAAATTTGTTAGAACAATGTCGCTCGTCGTGAAATAACGTTTTCCGAGCGATAAGACGATATTTGATGTGCGATTATAACTCGCGAGATATAAAGAAACGATCAACGACGAACTCGCCTCGCGTCTAAAACATTGTGCAATTTTAATTCGTACGAATACGAATAACGACACGATTGGAAAAAATTGAAGGAGAATCTCTTGTTTGTAAACGAGCAAGTGAAAAACTCGAGGATAAAATTTACGTAATTGTCGTTGTAAAGGAGGATCGAGGATCGTGAAACGAGCCAAACGAGTATAAATATTTCTAACGTCTTCGATCGATATATATATTCGTATCGCGACATTTATCGTCTGCGTGATAATCAAAGATAGAGTGACTCACGTCGATCTCTAACGCACGCGTCTGTCTTAAACGCGGCGGCGACAATGACAGGAGAGAAAAACGCATTGAAATTTCCTATTCGAGATTCCAACGAGTGTCGCAATTATTACTTGCGCCATTGTTGTTCGAAGATTCTCGCCTCGAAATAAATAAAATTGCGCAACGCAATATGATTTCGTCGCCGATTTAATTGGCCCCTGTTATTGATCCATCCTTGACTTTTCGATAATTACGCGAGACGGCCTGCGACGCGTCCGCAAACAGAGAGAGAGAGAGAGACGGACGATTGTATCGGGGCAAAGGATTTCGAGTTTCGCGAGCGGCCACCTGTTGATGATGAGCAGAACTCTCGTTTCCTGAACTTTGCTCCACGGTTCTACCATCACGGTTCCCTGCCGCGTTTACATTCGTCCGCAGATCGAAACCTTGCTTCCCTTCAATCCCCCCATATTTGTGAGAAAATATCGGCTACTCGAGGGGCGCGTCGTCTCTGAGATTATTGTTAAGATTATGTTATGGCATAAAGAATCGTAAAAAAGTGGAATTAGAATTGGAATACATCGTCGACATTCGTGAATTTTGAAAAGGGCGAATAAACGAGACAAGAAAGGTGTACTCACTCGGTGATCCTGCTGGCGAAGTTGGTCGACGTGTTGATGTCGTACCACGTCATGTCCTGCCTAAGAACAGAGCGCAGGAACATCTTGCGCACCCGAACGATCTGTCTGGATGCCGCTATGTTCAACAAATCGACCGTGAACACGGCAAACACGAATTGGAACGTGGACAACGCTGCGGAGGAAACGCCGAACGCGACCGAATCATCGTAAAGCGCCTCCATCCTTTCCTTGTACGTCGAATTAGATCCCCTGCAATCGAAATATTCATCAATCTCTCGGCAAAATTCGAGATCGAGAGATTCGAGATTCCATTCGTCGCTTTTCCGTTCCAAATTAAATACATATATATATATATATATACGTATAAATATATTTATACCGAGGAAAGAAATTACGAAACTCGGTGGCGGTCTAAAGTAAACCAGACGCGATTCTATTTTCCTCTTTAAGCGTGACGCGTCGCGGGAAGAAGCGAGCTAAAAATATGAGAATTTAGGTATAGGTAGGCGCGTCTGGACACGGCCAAGACTTACAAGACCTTTCCTCCGCCGAACCACTTCATTATGAGAGTCGGCGTGCTCGTCTGATTCTTCATGTTTCGATCCACCAGCAACGTGGTGAACTCGCCGTATTGTATCGTCGAGATGGGGATGCACAGACCCGTCAGAGTTCCCATGATCAGGCCGCCGAAGATCAGCATCAACTCCCCGCATGTTGCAAATCGAAACTGCCAACAGAGCCCAGATCCTCTCCGTCAGATTCCTCTCCCAACTTTTCATCGCGAAGGAAAGGAAAGGGGTGAGAAAGCGAGACGAGGGGGGTTTTAATTAATCTCTCGGGCGCGTTCCCATCGACGTTATGCTAATTTTCCGAATGATGGGGTTTCTCTCGGGGAATTGGCGAGATTCCGTCGGGCAATTTGTCGCGAAACTGGTGGAAAATTTCAGAAACATATTCTCGGGTGATTTAGTGGCGAGCAACTTCTGCCTTTCCGGGAGATTTAACCCCGGGCAAAATTAATGCTGGCCTAACGGTGATTAATGGGAGGGAGATCCGACCTGTTCTAAACAAAAACAAGCCCGATCGATCGCGACAGAATCGCGGTCGTTAAATTTGTCAAAGACAAAGGGGAGTGTCCGTGGGGCGGCCGCCCCCCTCCCCGAAACATGGATTTCGTTCGAAAACTGGATCGTCGATATTTCAATCGTGTCTCGATTGTTTAACAAATGTTGGCGACATCTGCTTTCCTTTTTCCTTTTTTTCCTTTTATCTGGAACACTTACGAGTTTGAAGTAAGGCACTGGCGGTAGGGTTGGCTCCGAAGGCGACTTCTCCTCCTCCTTCGTTTGTGGTGGCACAAATTCACTGTGAACACAAACAACGCCCCCTTTTAACGTACATTTTCGATCCCACGTGCGATTGTTGCATCGATCGTGATTTCGCTCTAACGAGGCGAAAACACGAGACAACGATGGATTGTGCGATTCGTTCGAAGAGTAGTTCCGGAGTTGCGAACTTGGAAAGTCCGAGTCGATTGAAACAACCTCGAACTAGGAACGCGTTTACGATCGTTTTCAAGCTTTTTTTTTTTTTCCATTTTTTCTTTCAATCCAGAAATACTCTTGCGTTTTACAATATTAGAAAATCTTTATGAATAAATTTATACGATTGATTCCAGTCTCTATATACGGGCGAGCAGAATTTCTCCCATAATTATTACTCCCATAATAATTTCTACAACGATTATTGGAAGGAGGAATCCCGTGCTATGTATCTTTTTCTTTTTTATATTTAACAAAAATATCGTTCGTCTGTGAGAAATCTTATTCGTACATTGGTTTCCCATTCTCTTGGAGCATATACTCAGTTTCCTCTTTATCCTTCTCCGCGTCTTGGAGCGTGTCTGAAATGAAATATAAAAGGTACCGTACACAGGCATATCGTACAACATATTGTTTTCATGCGCATCACCAATGAAATCTTAAATATACGTTCGCCTTTTTCGCCCAAACCGAAAGTTACCCGATGCCAATGATTGCGTTCGATACGTGATCGTTGGATTGCGGATTTTTGCGCAAGCGCATAATTTCGCGTGAATAACAATCAACAACGATCAAGTCGAACGAAATATCCCCGAATTTGGACGCAATTTACTTTAAAATTTCGATTGGAAGTTACTTGGAAGATATTAACTTTCGATCGTTGGAAGCGCTTTAAAATACGATACGAGTTGAGGAGATATCGAATCGTTTATCTAAAACCTGATTAAAATTTTGAATCTATTCTCAAGATAGTAATTTTCGATCGACAAATGAGCGATCGTTAGAAGCGCGGGATCTTGTTCTTCGAAATATTTTTTCATTCCAATACGACTTCCGAGATCGGAAGTTGCCGAGATAAAGAAAAAAAAAATTTTTCATCATTCTCACCGACCTATCCCAAAGTGTCAGAATCGCGGGATCATTCATAAATTTTAGTGCATTGTCTTTAGCGCGCTATAGACATTCTCAGTCTTTGTATCTTGGCAACCGATTGAGATATCGGAGATAAAAGAGACTCCGATGACTTTTCTTTGTTTTCCAAATATATCATTTCGATGATAAAATTACGCGCTTCGTACGATATTTTGTGTAAAAAAAATTAGAAGATTTATTCGAATGAATGCGATACGAAACGTGTAATTTAATATATATATTTTATACCACGACATATTTCGTATTAGTCGAATATTTGAACACATTATTTATTTCTTTATAAAAATCCGATCATTTTCTTCTCGTTATCTTTATCGATTGTTCGAGATTGTTCAACCTTGGCTGGATTATTAAACACGCGTGTTTAGATATATATATATATATTTAAGGGAAAAAATCGTTGCGCGGAATGAAGGGATCTCGTTTGCTTCATTCAACGCGCGTTTCTTCGACGATAACGCCCTTTTCCCCCCTCCTTTCGCGAATGGAACGAATCGAGAGGGGAAAAATGTTGGAGCGCTGCGCACGTTCGTCGGAATCATTTCCTACGGGAAACGAGTGGATGCGCGTTTCGTAAAACAATGCGCGCCAACGTCTCTAAAATACAAATGGAACTTTCGCTGGGAAGAAACTAACGGCTTCTCCCGGTTCGGTTCGGTTGAAACGACCGTGACAAACGATCCGACGACTCCCAGGAAATGGCCCCATTAAATTCGGCCCGAGAGCCTTTATCCTCTCCAATGTAATAACATTGGCCCAAAGATAATAACTCTTGTCCCTGTTTCTCTCAAAAAATACACATCGGGAAAATGTTTCTTCGAGCGTTCCTCTACGGGAGCCAAAATAAATGGAAATGGATCGAGTTTGAGAAACTCGAATTCGAAACTTTCTCTCCAAACTCTCTCGAAACTTGAAACGCTTGTTTTTCCTTCTTGTCTTCCTCCTCCTCCTCAATTCGATCGTGCTTTTTTGAGACGAAAATATTATAAATCATATATCATCGGATTCGCGTTAAAATACGCTACGCGTCTAAATAGAATCTAAATTTTTATTCTTTATTCTATAATCAAGTAATGCGAGCAAAAATGTCCACGATCCAATTGTATTATATATATGAAACCGATTTCGCAACATCTCACAGAACCGATCTCCACAAAAAATAATCGAACGTCCCGCATAAAAATTTTCTTCGAGATTGGAGAAAATTCGCCCCGTTCTTCCAGATCTCTATTATTTCACGAGCGTAATAAACGACGGTGAACCTTCGTTCGCGCGCGAAAGATCGTAAATCTAGCCGGTATATAAATCGTGTGGATTCGCGGATCAACGGAGACGAAGCACGACGAGGAAACGAAACGCAAAGTTGCAAAGGGGACGGCCCCTTTGGCCAAAGCGTCGAGCTTCCAACGCTTCCTCGATCTTCCCCCGTGGAGGAGGAGGGGAGGGGCTCCATTAGCGGCGTAATTGCTGTTCGAAACTCCTGCGACGAATCTACGACGATCGGCATTTTATGCAGGGGACTGTCTCGACCCACCGACCGACTCCTCGTGCATCGACGAATTTACCCCCCGGTGCACGGATACGAGTCCGACAAGTTCCACCTTCTCGCAACTTGGCCGACCAACTTTTCCCCCTCCTTCCTCGATTCGATCACACGTTCGACTCGTGCAATTGTGTGTTTCGCGGGAGGCGATTAATTTGACCGTTGGAAAAAGGTTTCAACGGGAGTGGAAGTGAGTTTTTCGGTGGAACAGGAGGGGAGGGATGAAAAATTTTAAAGGATTTCGAGTAATTCCGAGTAAAGCAACAGATTACAAAGTTACGAAAATTTTGTTAAATTACGACATAATGACAAACTTTTCTTCGCGTATGGAAAAAGAAAAAAGTTAGAGGAGAGAGAGAGAGAGAGAGAGAGAAAGAATGTATGTCGTGCGATTACGAGTTCGAGGAACACTGTTCGTTACGGACAGTGGACACAATTTGACGAAAGCTTGGGTTGTATCGTCTTTTTATCTACCTTTTCTGTCCCTCTCGCGTTTTTGTACAATATTTTTATATCTTTACTTTTCTCTCTTTCTGTCTCCTTCCACTCGAGAGTGAAGGTAATTTATCAAGACACGCGTTTCCAAGTATTAATCGCGTTTCGCTTCCATCCATCGTTCGGGATGAACGATCATCGTTTCCCGCCGAGTTCTCTCGAATTATCGCACGCACGAAACTATCCATGGAAGAAAAATTTGTGTTCTTCTTCTCGTCCAGTAGTAGTTTCTGTCGTCCGTCGTCGACTCGAGCCGATCGATCTCCCAACAACTTTCACGCCCGACAAACTCGCGAAAAAAAGGGGAGGAAACACGGAAACAAGTATTCGCCGCAAATTATTCCTTGGTTTAATAATCCAGCATAAAGGTGTCGAAACTTCGTAATCATTCTCGATCCGAGAAATCTCGATGATTATTAGTTAACGATCGATCGAGGGAATGATCGAGCGGCCGCCGATCGATTAGAAAGGAAGGGTGGAAAATTGCAATTTTTCGTCTCATCGATCACGAGGCTTATAACCATCGATCAACAATGGATAAGCTCGCCTCCCCTCGCCTATTGTATATTATAACGGAAACCAAGTTCTTTCTTCTTCGAAAGAAGTTTAGTTGTCCGATAAACCGGTCTCGGTTGTGTAAATTAATTTTTTCGCGCGCCAAACTTGCATGATGGCGGCGAGTTCAATCCGTTCATCGTAACAGAGAGAATTTTTATATACAACTTGGGCTTGAATGGATTAATTCGAATGGAGTAATTGAGAAAAAGGTTACTTACACTTCAAGAATATTTTTTCCTGGCGGTGAGAGTTTGTTTTTTGGGGTTCCATTTCCATACCCTGCGCCTTCTCGCGCGGGTTTGCTGTCCACTGACAAATTCGCCGTGTCATTGCGCATTCTTAATTAACAACTCTGCAAAAGAAGAAACGGAAGATGATAAATTTAAACAATAATTTAACGAGTAGTCGATCCGATTTTCCGAATCTCTTTTAAAAATGCAACCTCCAACAGGCGCTCCAATACTCTTATCTTACTACCCGTTTATAACGATTCTTCGATAGTAGTTTCTCTTTCGATTTGACTGAATGAATTAACACAAAAAAATCGAAAAATCAAATCAACAAACGTTGCGAGTTACACGTTGCTACACGAGTTCGCGAGCTTAATTCCCGCGTAACGATCAACGTTGCAATGTTCGAGCGAGAAACAAGTGCAGGCATAATTCGATCACATCGAGTATATAACCAATTATACTCTACTCCACCCAATCTTTCTCCGATCCTCCGATCTACGTATCCATTCGTATAAATTCTTCGAATAATGGCTTCGCTAATCATCGAAACCTCGTTGTTTCGTTAAGGGGAGGGGAGGGGGGATCGAAACAAAAGCTGTCTCCATTAAATCGAATCGAGGCTCCGGGGGCACAGTGGAAATTTCGCGTCTCTGTTTCTCTTACAAACATTCGCGCGTTCGTTCCATCCCCCCCTCCTTGTTGTTCACAACATCAAACATATATATATACCATATCGGTGTTTAAGCGACGGTGTTTCGAAACGTCACGCGCAACAATGTCGGAACCCTTGAGCTTTCAATAAACGAACGATCGACAACACGGCGTCACGCGGCGGATTGGAAAAACGCGGCCTTGCGCGATCGCGATAAATTAAAGCCGGGCTGACGTTTTGATTGTCGGCCCCGGCCTATATATTTGTTGCGGTCAATATTTGCCCCGCTCGATCCATTGTCGCCTCTCTAACCCCCCCTCCCCCTCCCCCCTCTTCCCCTTCAACGTTACAACCGCCCGTTTCGTCGGGGGGGGGGGAGGGGGTCCGCAGCAGCTTTGCAAACGCAAACTGCAATTAGCAACGATAATCCGGGGACAACAAACTCTATTTACCCAGGTCATTATCCACTGTATCATACGTTTACCGCGCAGGATATATACAATCTAAGCGATGGCTAGAACGTGCGCTAATACGTGTTAATTAATCGATTGACCGATGGGACCTATGATTACGTTTAAAGGGTGGGAAGGGGGGGGAAGGGGAGGTTGTCCGGCGGTGGATCACGCGATGACAGTGACGAAAATCGTTCGTTTGATGATCGATCGTTCGATTAATGGAAAGATGGATGGAGGGGTCCTAAACTAGATTAATTTTTATTAATCGTCGATTGATTCTCTCTTTAAGAACGATTCAACGATCGTAAATGAAGTATTCGTTCGATGATCGATCCGAGATTATAGGCAACGATTCCGAGGATTTAAGATTAAAAAAAAGTGTATCTTTGATTACACTATCAATCGAATAATGATAATCGAATGATTTCTACACGGATCTACGAATATTATTTTTAAATAAAGTCAAAGTACTGAGGTAGCTTTTAAATTTTTAACCAATTGATTAATTTTAATACATTTTTCCGAAGCTCTGTCTGGTTTTTAAATTAATTTTTGGTTCGATTCTAGTTTCGGTTCGTACGATTTCGGATGAAAAGTTGGGGGACACGTGCGTGCGTGTGTGTGTGTATGTGTGTTGACGCAAAAAGGCGGGCGAAAAGGAAACTCGGATAAACGAATGAGACCGCGAGGAACGTGGTTAATGTTCGGCAACTGCAATTTCCAACTCGTGCCCCACATCTCTCGGACTTTCTTGCGTCTAATTGCTGTTCTAATTGTCGAATGAACGGCACGATAAAAAGTCGTTCAAGTCGTTAGGTCGTGTTGCGAACCGAGTTAGAGGAGGCCTTTAATCGCAACACGGAGCGAGGCCCTTTTCTTCGTCTCGCTCTTTCGCTTTCGAAAAACGTTACGATCCTTTCAAACGGCGAAACGAGACGACAGCGTTAATCCCATCGTCGAAAGAAGGATCTTGATATTTCCATCGTTCGAATCGAATCGAGACAAGGTTCGATCAAGAAACGGTGGATTAATTTAGTCGGAACATCTACGCTCTTACGTAATTAACGTAACGAGTAGTCGTGTACGATATTATAAGATAACGTTTCTCCATTCCTCCTCCTTTCCCTCCTTTTCAATATCTGTCAACGACGTCTTCGGAAAACCAGTAATAAGGGCGGAAAACTGGTCTGAACGAGAGACTTCGAGACTTTGAGCAAATGAGAAACAAAAACTAATAAAATACTAATGAAAAGAAAAAAAGAAGAAGAAGATATTCTCCTTTTTATTTCGATCGGTATCTTTCATTACTTTTCCCCTTTGATCAACCATCTCTTCGTTATGGCGTCTAGTAACGCCTTCGGTAACTAGAAGTAACGACGCGACACCGTCATCAATGTCTCGACTCTTTATATATATTTTTTAAAATCGATATCCCCTTGAAACGAGCTACTTTCCTCCTTAGTCGTAGAAAGAATGGACAGAAAGAGAGAGAGAGAGAAGAACTTCGTCTCCGTACGATATTTTCCAATTCGGTTGAATATCGCAAAAAAGAAAAAGAAAGAGAAAAAAAGGAGAAAGGAAGAACGAAAAGAGAAAGGTCGAGATTTTATTAACGAGCCTATGCCGTTGCGGCTGGAAGAGAATCAAGACACGAGGAGTACGATGATATCGCGCATTCGGTCAATTTCGAATTATCCTATTTCATCTAGAACGAGAGCTTTCCGATCTCATTTGTCTCCGTTCCAATAACTTTCCTCTCTCCTTCCCTCCTTTCCCCTTCATCAGGCCGATCAGCTGGTACGCGCCGATCCAATTTTTCCTTCGTTGCCCTCTTCGAACGGTTTATAAAATTCCCTTCCCCCTCCCTCTCTTCGTTACAAGACCAACGATGCAACGATAAATAAACGTCTCCTCGAAGTTGCGCGCTCCACCTTCGCCGCTCTTTTCTCGCGGATCGTTGCTCATCGATCGAGACCAGGAGACGAGGAACCGGAACTCGAGCAGTTAGCAACAACTCGAAAATTTTCAATCCAAGCTGAAGAGTTGAAATTTCCTATAACGTTTCGCCTAAATCTCCTTCTTATCGAATACAGGGAAGAAGAAAAGACAAAGTCGAAGGTAAAGTACACCCAACTCCTACCTTTCCATTCGTTAAAATTTTTCAGATTATCATTCTAAGAAATGATGTAAACGACGTTGCACGATTCGAAAAGTTGCACGATTTCCCTCGGCAATCCATCTTTCTGGAATTCGGGCCCCCCCGCCTCCTCGCCCCAATCTTTTCGAAATTCCACGGTAACAACGAAGAAGAAGAAAATTTCAAACAGGGGAAAGCAATCCGCGCCAGATTTTGTCCCGCTAATGTATTCGGCTCGGATATAGTTCCTCTTCGAAACTTTAAACTTGGTCAGGACGGCCGTGTTCCGGGACACCAGGTTGAAAAATCGCGGCTAATGGGAAAAATTGGTAAAGTTACACCGGCGAGTTGGCCGGCGACTTTCGCCGCGGAGCCTTCGTCGAAACTCCATTAAGCTTGGAAACTAATTTCCAACCGGGTTTTCGCGGCGAGCATCGCGTAATCGCCTTCCGCCGTCCTGTCTCGCCAATTATTTTTACCGGAAACAGCCTTTCGCGAATCGAATTTCTTTCTTCTCTTTTTTTTTTTTTTTTTTTTTACATCGATACAAATATTTGCGCACAACGAATTTCTCTCGAACGTGTTGTTCTTGGATCAGAGTGCAATGACAATCGATTAGAAGTGATTTTGAGTAGATTCTATTTGAAAGAGGATAGATAGGTTTTCTGAACGATATTAGTATTTTTTTTTTTCAATAATTTAATACGTTATAATTCATTCATTGTTAAAAAGAAAACAGGAGAAACGAAAATCAAGTTGATTGGAGAATTGAAAGATACCTAGCGGATTTCCATCGCGTTTGATCACAGATCACCTTTCGTTTACAATTCTCACAAGATTTTGATACGAACTATATTCTATATCGTATAATCATTTACAATTCTTTTACATTAATTATACTCTAACCTGACTCTTTACCAATTGTCAAGGAACCAAACGCCTAATTAATTTTCACGCGTTCAAACGTAACGAGCTACAAATATTCCCCGATCTTCTTTAAATCCTGCTCCCCAAACCAACGGGAGGTCGAAACACCGCGTGCATAACGTAAAAAGAAGAGAGAGAGAGAGAAACACATGTTTTAATCCCCTCGTCGTATCTGTCGGAAGCACGCGTAACCGACCGGCCGCGTATTTACGATCGACGCGTGATTTACGACGATCGTTTTAATTAGCGACGAAAATATACGGCGGAGGAGGGGAGCCCGTCTCTCCCCTCACAGAGAGAAAGATCATCTCTGACCGATAGCGGGACGAGAGGTGGAAATTTTTTTTAACAGAATCTCAGTTTTTCTTTCTTTCTTTCTTTCTTTCTTTCTTTTTTTTTATGAATCAGCGAAAGCGAGGAGGAGATCCTCGACCTGACCGAGTTATAATTAAAGCAATTCCGCGGTCCCCGGTTGCTTTGTGCCCTCTGAGGTTCGTTAAGCTCGACAAATTAATTTCCATTGTATTTTCAAACGGCCAGCGGGCACAATTCTCGCGCCCTTTAACCGAGTGAGTTCGAGTCACGCCTCACCTCTCCCTCCTAACCCGTTCCTGTCTGCGTTTCCGCTCGACGATGTCCCGTGGAAAGAAGTTAAAAAAAGGAGGGGGGGGGAAGGGGATTGGACCTTGGAATTCGGGGAGAAAATTTTTCTCCTGGGCTGGAGAGCAGCTCGATCGACAAATGTTTGAACTTTCGTTCCCGGAAAAGGGGAAGGAAAAGTTTCATCGGTTTTACCCGCGAATCGTGAATCTTTTATTCGAAAAATGGCGGGGCTTAAATTGGTCGAGAAGGAAAAATTAAAAATTCGTCGCCCGGATGTTGCACGCGTTACGGCCAACTCGCAATTAAAAGTTGCGCTGTTAAAAATCAACGAAATTTTTTTTTTTT